AAGTTTCCATTCTTCCTTTGTCTTGATAACAGTTATTCCTTCTTTCCTTTTTCCAGCTCCTCAACAGCACAGCACTGTTCAAAATCCGTGAAAAGCTAAGAAACATGAAGGATAAAGTCCTGAAGACACTAGAACTGTCACCAGAGATGATGAGATCCCTCCAGGAAAGATTGAAGGTCAGGTTCTTCTTGGTTCCTTAGATCTTATAGCGGAAGCAATTTTAGAATTCAAGAAGCAAGATAATTTAAGTATCCTTCAAAAGGTTTCAAATGCATCCTGAGTACAAGAGAAGCCATGCAGTGTTCTGCTTTCACGGAAGACAAAGGCACTATGTGAATTTTGTAGAAATGGAGGCCCATAAAAAATGATGCCGATATGGAAAGATCCATCACCGAAGTCAATGAAAACAGTCATGTCGACAAGGATCTCTATCAGGGTGACGTGGCGTTAACAGCGTACGTAAAATACGTAACACAGATTATCATCTCCCTAGAAGTGATCATTTAAGCGAGCAAGCAGAGGAGGTTATCGAGGATATAGAAGAGGAGGCTGCCGGTATGAATCGAACAAAACGTCAAGTTTTTAAAGACCATAAATACCCAAAAACAATTTGGTCCGAAGGGTTTAACTACTTCTTCCACGATGATGCCAGTAAGTATAGGAACGTAGTCTTGTTATAACAGGTTAAAACAGTAATTGGGTAATGTCATTTCAGCCTACTCAACGCAACGCGCTTTCGAAAGGGCTGCCAAATTATGGGAGAAGGACACCTGCATCGATTTCAAAGAAAATCGTTCTGGTGAGAAAAAAATTTATCAACTCAGTAACCATAATATGCATAGTTTTGAAGAGGTCATACATCGAATTTATACGATTTCACCATACATCAGAAAACGAACGTGGCACAAAAATTTTCAGTTTCAAAGGAAAGAATATTTTAATTTTCATTGGATAGATGAAACATCCTCTATGTTGAGACTGCTGCGTTGTCTCAGTATTCGATGCTGAAAAGCTTAACTTTTCCTAGCTACCGACGGAGTTATGGTGTTCTCGGGATATGATGGCCATACGTGGGAAAATTCGGTGGCCAACAACCTATATCGCTGGGAAGCGGTTGTGAGCCTTTAGCAATCGCTGCGCACGACATTGGTCATATTCTCGGACTCTTTCACACGATGTCACGTCACGATCGTGGCGACTATATCACGATAAACAAGGATGATATCAGGGTATGTGGATGACTCTAACTCCCCTGTTATATTCCAGATTCTAATTCCTAGAAAGCATACTGTAGGTATTTGTGCATGTGTCTTCATTCACTTCAACCTTCCCAAATTATAGTACAGAATTGGCATTTTGACCACTTTCGACTGACTGCCGTTAGCAAAGTTTTCTCGACTGTTTGGCATTACACTCTTTCACAACGTATCGGTTGTATAAGTATGACATTAGGCGATGCCGTGCACAAAAAGGGCTCCAACCAGGTACATTGAAATATCGCGGTGCACTGATACGCAATGTCTTGCGCATATGTTGTTCAGGTCTTTAACAAGCTCTGTAGGCGTCGAGAAGTTCCGTTTACTACAGATTAATTCATGGTTCCACCAAACAGTACAATAATGCCATCCGGGGCCTTCCCGATACTATAGGTAACTTGAACGGTTTGGTATCAGAACTTTATTGGGCAATGTAATATCAAACTTACACCGGCCATTGCGATTAACAGTATGGAATGATTTCGTTTGCCGCTTGCGTATCAAAAATTACAACCATCACCACAAAGACGGAGTTTATGACCAGAAGTCATTTCATTAGACCCAAGGTAGAGGTGGTGCTGGGATGAAGAAAAACAATGAGAACCCAAGAAAGGCTACCGCTTCCTTGGCCGTTGATTTCCGCACTTATGTCATTCTGACCTATGCTGCCCTCTTCAATACTGACGTTATCTCTGCTGGACGCTTGAAGACCTGCGGCGTATGATCAGACAGTCGGTGGGCGCGTATAGTTGCAACGAAAACTTACGCCATGTAATTCCAAAAAATGTGATCTGATGTCTTATGTGATATAATGCTGAAGTCTTCAGAAAGATTGGCTAAGACAATTCAATAAAGAGACACCGAGAAGAAACGATAACTATGGTTTGAAGTATGACTACGGGAGCTTAATGCACTATGCCGCGTCAACGTAGGTTTGCACAGATATATGTATTGTACAGATGGTTGGGTGAAAGGAGCCGATGTGTTATGAATTTAAAAGGAAATGATATAACATAGGAATTAGATACTCCTTTGATATGCATTAATGTTAGTGGATCGAAAAACGGAAAGCCGTCAATGGTCCCGTTTTATATCAACTATCAGCAGACTCTTGGATCACCATTCATTTCGTTCGTTGAAATTTCCATGACCAACGAACACTACAAATGCAAAGGTTTGATATGCATTTCATTATGCCCGCAAATGATTCCGTTTGCTTTTGATTGTCCAGAGAGGTTGCCAGACTTAGCTTGTGGATCAAAGCACAGGTGTTGGTAATTAAGCCTTGGAAGTATTTATAGCTGCGCAAAAATGTGCATGCGCTTCCGAGGGCATAGTCTGCATACCTGCTCGTAGCAGATGGGCGCCCCTCTTCAAATTAAGATTCAACGGTTATTTCAATGTAAAGGATGATTGGAATTGCTTCGCTAAAGTTAACTATGTATGAATGTTACCAAAAAATGCCAACACTAATTGCCTACGCAATTGCCATTCCTAATATATCTTTCAGAAAATTGTGACCCAAATACGTCAGCCAAATGCGAGAATGGCGGATATCCTCACCCACGAAACTGTGAGAAATGTATCTGTCCTGGTGGATACGGCGGAGATCTTTGCAACGAAGAGAGTGAGCAAGTGCACACACCTCTTGAAAATAGTACTAGCAAGAAAGAATTTATTCCAGCCGTCAGGCTGCGGCGACATAATTCAAGCTTCGTCCGACTGGCAGGAACTCGAAGATGTTTTAAGCCGCAGCATTTACGACCAAAGCGACTATACGATGTGCACCTACTGGATTGAAGTATGTCCCATACTCTTGGCCATTAATCACCTGAGTTGAATAGAATGGAACATCAATGACTGCTTTCTTAATTTATTGTTGTCCAGTGAGCTGACACCACAAAATGTTATGCTTAGTAGACCAATTTATACGGATAACCCCCACGTTTTAGTCTCCATTCGATACCGTAATCGAAGTGAAGCTTACTGGATTACACAAGAGGCTATTCTGGTGAAGGATGCGGCTCCACTGGCGTGGAGATCAAGACCAACGAGGATCAAACATTAACCGGCTATAGGTGTGGTTGTAGAAATCATGCTAATCCGAAGAAAAAACTATATACTGAAGGTTCTGCTCACCTGATGCTGCTGGAATTACGCTTCGTTCTCATACAAACCGTGTTCCAATAATAACATACAGCCTGATTGGTAACTCCAGAGTGAAGGCTGTCCTCGAATATCGATACGGCACTGTTCCATTGCTTCTGTTCGGAACAATTTTAAAGCAAAGCAATGCATTTAGTGCCAGCAAGCCCAGCTCCCTGAGTGGATTCCGTCAAGACGAAATGTATACAAATTCGTATGGTATGTGCTGATTCTGTACAGTGGCTATAATAAATATATGGCTATATTCATTCTCAGGCATTATATTTCAAGTACCTTCTTCAATTATCCTTCCTCGTTTTCATTTTCTGGACCGCTTATATGGAGTTATTCAGCACGTATTTACTTAGTCGGCAATTTTTGAAAGTAGCGTGTAATAATAACACCTACTCAGAATAACTGTTCACAAACTGTGCAAGTTGTGGTCTTAGACTGCTGGTGGAATTTATTTATGTTTGTGTGTTGCTAACAATATCCTTCTTATATTATAACAACAAAAATCGAAGCACGCTGAGGTGCTTTGATGAAATCCGACTGTGCATATGAAAAGTTCGGTTATCAGCTAGCGTTGTGGCGAGTATTTACGAACATTGTAAAATTAACGAAATTATGAAGAGGTCGCCCTGTCCAACCACTATGAAGGCACGGAAATTCTGAGCAGGGAAGTTCAGTACATAGTCACTGTGCTTCGACAACACCGAGGAAAGGAATACATTCGTTGGTCTTCGACAAAAAATGAAAGGAAACTATTCGTTCGGAGATTTCTTGCGGTATTTCATCCTGAAAGGAACGGATCGTGATCGATTCAAGTCATTCCATTCGAAATCTTGCGATTCACGATTTCCCGTTTTCCGTGAAATCGAGTGGTGCGACGGAGAGACACAGCACGGCAAGGAGAGATGCGAAGGAGCACATCGTTCAGGAGGGCGTAGACACTCGTATGCTGCGA